GGTTAATTATCTTTGGATGACTTTTACTTCTTTGTTCTTATTAACTATTTATTTACGGTTGTAATTAAATAAATAATGAACAACAAACAATTTTGTCAAAAAAATATGTAATCAGGTGCAGCAGACTGCCATATAGGAAGAAAATGAGTAAATACCTACACAGAGGTTCGAGCGTGACACTCTGGACTTATGAATCTATGTTTTCCGTCAGGTGTATAAATAGGCTACTGACTGCTGTGATTATTGAGTGGAACTATCCAGTCGAATTAGTGTGCATCAATGAGCGTCGATGATTTGAGTTTTGATTTAGGATTTACCGGACTTTAAGCCGAGCCGTGCGACTAACAAAGTATTCACTAAAATGGTTAATTATCTTTGGTTGACTTTTATTTCTTTGTTCTTGTTAAGTATTTATTTGCGGTTGTAATTAAATACTATTTTATCTTAACATTGAAGTCTTGAGTTATACTTAATTATTTAATGGCCACCGTAAGTCACAAAACAGACCATATTCAGAGGAAAAACAGCACATATACCCTAATGAAATGAAGAAAGTATCATCCTGTTAAATTAATTAACAAAGTATCATACTCTTAAGTTAACTAAATCAAGCATATCAGATCATATATGTGACGGGAAAGGGGAGCAGACATTATCGTAATAATGAACAATAAATCATTTTTCATCGTTTCTCTTCCAGCAAGGCAATAAAGCCACTAAGACGCAAGTGGTTCACTGAGTTTGAGAGAATATTAAAAAAAAAGGAATCTTTATTAAGATAAGAGAACAACAAAAAAATACGGAAGAAGACAGGAAATGACGAGTGACATTGCATTTAAAGTTTTGAGGATCAAAGTTGGCTGGAAATCAAGAAGCCGAAAGTGAGTTCCACAAGCGAAAAGTGCGAGAGAATACACTATGAGATAATCCTCATACCAGAAATTCAGACAGAAATTTTAAAATGGATATAGAACTTGATAATCGCAATTAAAACGGACATATTAAACAGTAGGAAAGTTAACAAAAATGTTTACATTATCGTAAAGGTATAAAATAAAAAATAAATTAACAACAAACAACAAAAAAAATAGTTGATCCTCATCAGTCGTCCCTCAAGAATTTGCACAACAACTAAAATAACCAATACCAACACCCGGATATTATATAATATATGAAAAACACCAGAGGCTAATTCTACTAGAGTCTATCAACCACTCCTTCTGTTTACAGAGAGATGGCTGAAAGGACTTAATATAAATTAAAACCTTAAAGTGAAAATCAGAGTGAGCTTTCCACAGTATTTGCACAATTATTTAATAAATATTTAGCTATCGCTGATCCAGTTTTATTAACGTACCTATGGAAATCGTACACCTTACCTTTCCGAATATTGGATGGTATTTGTTGAATAATCTGTGCTTCCTCCCTCTGACCTATTCTACATGTGTGTCTATAATAAAAAATAGCAAAGATGAAGATATTTAGTTGACTTACTTGACACCAGGGTGGATTTTTGCATTGGAATCATTGCAGTCTTTGCCTCTCCAGTAGGCACCACGAAATGTCTGCAAAAGACAAAAAAAAAAGACTTTCTGTACAGATCGGACCAAAACTAGAATATTGCTGTTATCGTCGTCGGCACCCGCTCGCATCTGATCATCGGGATCGTCATCCTCTTTCCCTATTCCCTTTCTTTCCCCTGGTGGCGGTGGCGGAGATGGCTGTTAATCAAAGAGAGTCTGACGAGGCCATTCGCATTAATTTGATTTTGGTGGTCAACTCTGCGCGATGGAGAAGCCAACAGACGTGGCCAAAAGCGCCTCGCTCGCGGTTCAAAGGCAAGACCTGACAAACCTGGTTGCATCGGGCTGTTAGATGCTTGGTCCGTCAAAGTCCACCTTGGTTACAATAGCCCGATTTTTTGGGCCGTTGAGATCTTTGTCTAATCCGCCACTGGGGTCTTCGGGGGTTAGTCGCATTCATTCTGGTCTCTCCTCCACGACCTTACCGTCATGGGTGGCCCTACAGGAATTGGAACTGCAGACGTCTTAGTAGTTCTGGGATCAAGCAAGCCGTCTACCATAACAAGGAACGACCATATAAATTATAGATTATCAAATGAAAAATTTATGTGTTATTTAACGACACGTCTAAATAATATGGTGATATGATTTTATATAGTCGGCACCCGCTTGCATCAGACCGTTGGGATCGTTATTCCTCCTCCTCCTCATTCGATTTAACCCCCTCTGGGGATGGAGATAGCTGTAAAGACCCAGCCTAGTCCTGTAGGATTGTAAAAGAGTTTGACGAGGCCATTCGCGTCAATTTGATTTTAGTGGACAACTCTGTGCGATGGAGGATCCCACACACTTGGCCAAAGGTGCCTTCCCCCACGGCTCAAAAGGGATTGAGACAGACAAGATCTGGTAAACCTGGTTACATCGGGTCATCGCATACTTGGTCTATCTTGGTTACGCCAGTCCGACTGGCGCATCCCGACTAGTGCAGCCCGACTGGCGCATCCCGATTGGCGCATCCCGACTGGCGCAGCTCTCTTCCGCTGGTTTGGCCATTAAGATCGTGTAGATCTTTTTTTTTATTATTATTAGGGTCTTTAGGGTTTCTTGTTCATTCTGGTCTCTCCTTTACAATGTTTTTTTTACCAACATAGTTATGGCCCTTAAGTTTTGGAACTCCAGACAGCGTCTCTCTGAGGATCACTGGGACGCACAGGCAAACAAGTAAACAAAACAAAATAACGTTACGATTAAAAATATCATGGAAACTTACATATTCTTTTTGGCACCAGGATCGTCATCCTCTCCCCCCCTCTTCCCTTTCTCTCCCCTGATATTTTGGCAGAAATGGCTCAAAGGAATTTGATTTAGATGGACGACTCTGCACAATGGAGAAGTCCGAACACTTGGCCAAAAGTATCGCGAAAGGATATCGTTATTATCTTCTACGTGGCGCATCCCATCAAGACATAGATGATCATGGCTCTCCACTATTTCTTTTCTCTTCACTTGGTGGCGGTGGCAGAGATGGCTGTGAATAAGAGAAAGATCTGATGATGCCATCAGCGTGAATTTGATTTTGGTGGACAACCCTGCACGACGGAGAAACCCACACACTTGGCCAGAAGTTCTCCCCACCCAACGGCTCAAAGAGAATTGAGACAGATGAGATCTGACAAACCTGGTTGCATCGGGCAGTAAGATTCTTGGTCTGTCGATGACCACCTTGGTTACACCAGCCCGACTAGCGCAGCCCTCTTCCGCCGGTTTGGCGATTAAAATCGTGTAGATCTTTGCCTATTCCGCCATTAGGGTCTTTGGGGATTAGTCGCGTTCATTCCGGTCTCTCCTCCACGGCCTTACCACCATGGGTGACCCTACAGGAATTGGAACACCAGACAGCTTCGCTCTTAGGAACACCGGGACGCACAAGCAAACAAGCAATTAAACAAAACAAAATAAAGTTACGACCAAAAATATCGAAAGTCTTCTGGCGGCTGTAGTTGAAGCCAATAGCGATTTTATTAAATAAATTTACTCTTTCGTATCTCAAGATATGTTTGTGCAATTTTGGTAAATATATCTGTTAAAATGAGATGTCAGTGTTATTTTCATTTTGGCGTCATTTGGACGACAATTTATTCATCGCACCATGTATGCCAAAAATATACTCACGTAATTCTGACTGTAGAGATCACCATCTTTGTCATATTTGGGCAGATGTTTGTAATAACTGAAAAGAAATTCAGAGAAACATTTAGGTTTTATTTAAACATCTATTTATTTATCTATCTTAGTCTGTTCATGTCTAGATATCTATCTAGATATCTACCTAAATCTGTTCACATCTATCTGTCTATTTGTCAATCTATCTTTGTTCATATCTATCTATCTGACTATCTTTCTTCATATCTATCTATTTATCTATCTACCTATTATCCAACTTCTTCATTTCTATTTATTTATCTATCTATTCATTACAGTCTGTACTGTTATATCCCTATCTATTCTATCTATTCATGTCAGATCCTATGGACATCTATCTATTTATCTATCTATTACAGTCTGTTCCTATCTATCTATTACAGTCTTATCCTATCTATCTATCTATTACAGTCTGTTCCTATCTATCTATCTATTACAGTCAGATCCTATCTATCTATTTATCTATTACAGTCTGTTCCTATCTATCTATTACAGTCTGATCCTATCTATCTATTACAGTCTGTTCCTATCTATCTATTACAGTCTGTTCCTATCTATTTATCTATGCCTGTCTGCTTATGCCTCCAGTTTCCCAATTTGCAACCCAGATTTGAAAATAAATATATAAGCAAACAAATAAATAAACATACAAGAAACTCGAAACCACCACATTACTGCAGACACTGACATAATAACTTCACCCCTTGATCAAATGCGAATTGAAATTTCATATTAAAAAAATAAAAAAAATAAAACACGTAGCGAAATTTCACGCCTCGCATCACCCACTGGTCCCAGTTTTTCATCCGGCACCCGTTTAAAAAAAAAAAAAAAAAACAGCCCACGTGTCTTTTACTCAAACATCTTTGGATTGGCCAGATCCTCGCCAGAATTTTTCCAGCCCAGGCATAAAAGAAACATAAATGAAAAAAAAAAAAAGCCACTGGTGATTTTAAATAAGACAGCATCTCTTCACTACTTTAACCAAGAAGTGCAAAAATGGCACAATCTTTCGTCAGAAATTAACATATATATTACGGTGGCAAGGTGTTTGAGAAAATGGCCATCCAGAATATATATATATATATATATATATATATATATATATATATATAAATTGATTAACTCACTCATGTATATATATCTATCCCCCTCACTTCCTACTTATTTTAATTTACATATGTTTAATACGGTCCGTCAAAAATGTGTAAATTTTCTTTTTCATTTTTTGTTTAGAAGTAAAGTCTGATGATCCGCAGTCCTTTTTAAAAGGGCTGTGGTGAAATAATTTATTACATGGAACCTTAAAGTGGTCTGTTTTTTATTTAAATTATTTGCTCTGGATTTACATTGAGCTCTCTGGATTTTATCCTCCTTAGGTTTACCCATACGGATTACCTAGTTTTTTCATAAACTATATATATATATATATATATATATATATATATATATATATATATATATATATATATATTATTATTGACATTTTTATGTTTTTATGTTTATTATTTTTTATAAAAAGAATGTTAAACATAAAAATGTCTTTAAATAATTATCGGACTTTGTCCATTCCATAATGTGTGACGTAATTTGTTTACATTTGGATACGCTTTGAGCAGATATGAATGTACGTGAGAGATTCATGGACGATTGAAGTTTATAAGCAGTAAATTCGACCTTGTCAACTGAACGATCCTTTGTGGCCGAGCGGTTAGGCACGTCAAGATAAATGACAGTTCCGTATCGGATGCAGGTTCGAATCCTGTTGAAGGACGAATATTTTCTATGAAAATTTCTCGGACATTCAGACCGTTTAGTACTGTTTATTATAAACATAGCATTTACTAAAATACTTGTATCTATAAAAAGATTGTTAAACATAAAATGTCTTTTTATATATATATATATATATATATGCTCTTTAGAATAATATGGTCGATGCTGCCACATGGTTGAAATCCATGAAACTAAGCATCTACTGCTTTAAGTGGGTTCATTGATTCGCTCTTTTTTATGGCTTATCAACCTTCTGCAGGTTGTTTAAAACCAAAAAACATTTTTAGATTCTAATTATTTTTTTAGATAATAACAGAACTCAGCTCTCCGATTTCCAATTCTGAGGCATTATCCATTACACCACCCGCACATCCTGGTATTTCCAAGCGGTCACCCATCTAGGTAATGACCAGGCTCAACGTTGCCTAACTTCAGTGATCGTACAGGAACTCGACTCTCCGATTAATAATTCCGAGCCATTATCCATTACACCACCAACACATCCAAGCTTAAAGCACTTGGTATTTCCAGCGGTCACCCATTTAGGTACTGACCAGGCTCGACGTTGCTTAACATCAGTGATCGTACGGGAACTCGGCTCCCTGATTAATAATTCTGAGCTATTATCTATTACACCACCCGCACATCCAAGCTTACAGAACTTGGTATCTGGGTCCTGACCAGTTTCGACAATACTTATCTTTGCTGATTGTACCGGAGCTGGTGTTTCTATGTGATATTGCTGTTAGCTTAACGAGACAACAAACAATGTTTAGGAATGGCACGGAATATAGAACATTAAACACAAATATTCAAAACAAATGCAAGTAAGTATAAGAGGAATGATTCAACAAAAAGTGGGCAGATTTCGAAAAACACTACACGAAAAAGTGCTTATCGAATAATTATTATTATCGTCAGAAAAAAACAAATACTTGTGTATATGAAAAAAAGTTCAGGAATAGGAAGTTGTGGAGAGGCATGATCGCCGACATCTTTATATTTTCTTTATTTAATTCAATGAAAATGACTACTGCTCACTTTCCTTTTTTACATATTATTTTTTTATTGTGACGAGGCTTATGGCCACATCACGTTGAAACACTGAAGTTAAGCAACATCAATCCTGGTCAGTACCTAGATGGGTGACAATTTGGGAATACCAGGTGCTGTAAACTTGGATGTGCAGATGGTGTAATAGCTTGGAATTGTTAATCGGAGAGCCGAGTTCCAATACATGTTCGGTTCGTTATATTTACTTACACCCATAATACCCTTGGAAAAGGTATGAATATATGTCTTCTCCCCCAAGCTATGGGTTAATTAACTTGTATCACTAAATCATTATTATCACCAAAGAAATTATTCTTACAACCTGAAAATATTTTCTGGCTTTAAATAGCCTGCAAAGGGTTGATAAACCGTAAAAAACGAATCGCTCAATCGATGGAATACTGATTATCTACACGGGCATGTCTTTTAGATTTATTTACATTCTCTGGAATATAAATGTATATAAACTATTCTGACCAGAAAGTTAGGGATCAGTTTATATATTGATTGTAATGTAGAACTGATCCCCCATTTTGTATCCACATTATAATTTCTTTTGTTTATCAAATTCTGCTTAGGTATGAATCCACCTCTTCTCCCCCTAACTATGGGTTAATTAGTAAGATTTGTATATTTTAATATTATCTGGTTTTAAATAACCTGTAAAAGGTTGATAAGCTGTAGAAAATGAATGAATTAATTCCAAAAATCAAAATATCATTTTTATAAAATTTAATCACGGCTCTCCAAAACTTTTTCATTTAATATGCATAAAATGAATTCACATTATAAATTTATTCTCATTTTTATTTTTCCTATGAATATTAGATATGCGTTTTGAACCTTCATTTAAAATTCAAAAGGCAAAAGAAAAATCCCTTGTCAATAAAAAAATAAAAAAACAGTTATTGGATTTAATAGAAACCTATTTTCCTAAAAACAATTTTTAAGAGAATTTTTAACAGAAAGATTTTATAAATTTAAACCAAAAGTGGCACTGGCCATTCTGTCAGTGAATACAGAAAAAGTGTTTTATTATAAGGAAACAATTTTTTTTTTCATATTTATTTATTTTTTTGTCGAGAGGTGAAATTGAATTTTTTATTATCGCATTATTCCAAAATTTTAACACATCAGCAGATAGCTATTAATGTCAACAATTGAGCACAAATAATTGTTAATTTAAAAAAAAACAATTTAATGTATAATATTATTAATAACTACATCAATAAAAGAATGTTCATCCCAAAAATAAAATTTAAAAAAAAACAATGTTAAATACAAAATGCTTATATTATCGAAATTCCTTTTTTTTAAAGATAGATATTTGTACTATATTATAATATCTTAATTTACTAAAAATAATAATAATTTTTCCAATATATTTTTAAACATTAAAAATTTATATTTAATCACATCTCCCCAATAGTTGTCACGATGTTGCAAAGATGAGGACAATAGTCTGAATAATGTAGGGAAGATAATACCTCATCTCAGAAATATAGACAGAAGCTTTCTTTCATTTTTAAAAATTCATTTTAAACCTTAGGTATCGTGAATTAGTGGAAGATTCTTGTAAACACCAATTATAACAAATTTCATATAGGTGATAAGAAAATGAAACTTAGAATAGGTAACATACGGATTTGTCTCTTAAATTGCGACAAAAGTAACACATTTAATCTAAAAACTCAAATTATGTTCTTAACTAACCTCGTCAGGCCGTGACTTTCATACGGATGTCATAAATGGCGCCAAACGTTGTCAGAAATATTTAAACTGTCAGCTGTATACAACGGCTTTCTCGGATTAATGTTTTAAAGAAAGGGTTTTTAGCGGATGAAGCCTTTAGGTTTTATTGATGAATGATACCGCTGAATTACAAACTGAGAACGCTGCTAGATGACAGGAACCACATTCTTTGATGACTTTCAATAAAAGCAACGCGAAAGGAAAATAATGCCATAATCAAGATGTTCCACACTTCAAATAAAAGGTTAGGAAGGAAATCGCCATCAATATTAGAAAGAGTGATAAGAGCTACTGGGCTTCAGAAGAGAAAATAATGACATAATCAAGATGTTGACATTTCACACTACTTCAAATAAAAGGTTAGGAAAGAAATCGCTATCAATACTGGAAAATTGATAACAATTTTACTGTCAATCAGAAATGAAAAAAATAATGACATAATCAATATGTTGACATTTCACACTACTTCAAATAAAAGGTTGGAAAAGAAATCGCTATCAATACTAAAAATTATTGATAACAGCTACTATTTTCAGAAGAGAAAATAATGACATAATCAAGATGTTGACATTTCACACTACTTCAAATAAAAGGTTAGGTAAAGAAATCGTTATCAATACTGGAAATAAATAGAGCTTTTTTTTTCAGATAAAATAATGACATAATCAAGATGTTGACATTTAAATACTAACTTTAAAAGGTTAGAAGAAAAAATAATATCAATACTGGAAAGATTTAATGACATTTCAACATTTCAGAAGAGAATTTAAACAGTTAGGAAAGAATTTGAAAATTTTCACTGTTTCAAATCTTTTGTTAAAAATTGATAAAGCTTATCTTCTTGGTAAACCTATTTTTCATAAAAATTTTTGAAACAAGAAAAGATTTCATATTTTTTCAAATTTTAAATTTATTGAAATTCAGTCGATGAATTCCTAATTACCATTTGTCTTTTTTTTTTTTCTTAACTTCTGAAAAAAAAATTTTTTCACTGTTCTAATTTACCTTTCAATCACCTGTTATTTCATTACTTTCTTTTTCCGATAAATCATATGATTGATACCAATAAAAATTTCTTTCCAGAAATATATAAATATTTAAAATAATTAAATTTTGAAAAATCCAAAAATAATGAACCATTTAAAACTAAAACTCCAGAAACTTTCTCAACAGACGTATTTATATTTTGTTTTCTTAAAAGTATTTAAATTTAATCAACTGATTTCTGACGAGATATTTCACTGATACCCCAGTTTTGAATTTAATGCGTTTTTTAAAACGCCCTTTTTTTAAAAAAAAAAAAAAAATAAAATTTTTGTTTATTTATTTTGGAATAGACGAGTAGAAGAAAAAAATTTATATCAATAATGGAAAATTAAATGTCCATTTTATTTTCTAGATAAAAACACGTCCTTCTCTGTATTTCCCCAAACACCCAATTTTAAGTCAAACTGTTGTAACGAAAATCTTAGTGGCATCCTGCCTTGTTTATAAAATAACTCAGACATGACAGACAGATTATGAAGATGTTTTTTACCAAATACATAGTAAAAAAAAATTTTCAACCAAAGATTCAGATTCCACTTGACTCACTATTAAAGTTTTTTAAAATTTTTTCAATAGGTGTTTACGTTGTACTTTTATCGTTTATTCAAACGTCGTCATTAATTTTCTATTCAGTAACATCCACTAGTTTTTAAAAAAAATGCTTAAAAATAACCAAAGAAGTTGATTAAATCTGAAAATTTTCAATTCAAGGCAATCAAAACTTTAAAAGAATGAACTTACTTTTTTAAAGCTAAACAGATTTAATTTAAGGAAGATTTTTGAAATTTGCAAAGAAATTCAAACTGAAAAATAAAGATACAAACAGAAAAATAATTTGTAATACACACACACACATATATAGATATATATATTATACTAGTACAGCCATATAAAGTTCTAACCACATGTGAACAGAACCTACCTTCCCAGGTTTCAGCTAAATGGATCTTCAGGGTAAACTGGATTACCCTGAAGATCCATTTAGCTGATATATATGTTTAAAAACAGGTTATCTGAAATTGAGGTTCTGGCTCACTAGGATTTTATATTTCTGCTTTATTTTATATTTTTTTTTCTTATTTTACTCCTTGCTTTTATTTTTTATTTTGGACTGAAAATTACGACACTAGACATGTTTTTATCCCTACTCGGATGTTTTAGTCTTTTTTTTTTTCACCAAATTTATTCCCAGATACCAATTTGTTTTTAATATATTTATTTGCAAATTTTACTATCCGGGTTTTTTTTTTAACCAGTTGAGTATAAACATTAACATATATATATATATATATATATATATATATATATATATATATATATATATATGATGTGATGAGATAAAAGTAATATATAAATTCCAACGTTCACAGCATTAATCCAAAAGATTTTTTTCAATACCGATAGTAAAGCGATAATTATTTTTATTTATAACTATTTTCTCATATAGACAAACTAACCCATCGGAAATAAAAAGTTGAAATGCACTGAAACGAAGTTGCATCTTTGTAGTGAGTAAAATGATTTTGTCTATATGATAAAATTATAATAAAAACAGTAATCCGGTGTTCTTATTGATATTTTTATTTTTACAAAATAGTGCTCAATGAAAATTTACAGAGCATTAATATTATAAATTAGCTGGTTTAAAATATGTTTTTTTTCGCTACACAGGAATTACCATGTTTCAAAAATGGAAGCTAAAAGCTTTGAAATTAATTTTGTAATTAGACTCCAAAATTCGCTTGAGGATGAAATGGATCTAATGGTTTTAATTTAATTACAAAATTAAATTCGAAGCTTTAAGCTTCCATTTTGAAACATTTTTATACTGTGTTTTGAAAAAGCCATATTTCAAATCAGTTAATTTATAATTATATATATATATATATATATATATATATATATATATATATATGGGGGTTTTATCAAATATAGATCAAGCATGGATCGGAATCCGACAGAATGATAAGATAAAGAACAAATAGGAAACGTTTATCAATCTGACATGTTTCGCTTTTATAAAAGCTTCATCTGAGAATGAAATATGAAGAAAAAATAGACAAACTAGTGTTAAGATGAAATTCATCAAGGATGGAGGCATAATTTGTTATTAACCCAAGTACTTCCGACCTTTTCGAAGATCATCTTCAAGAGTAAATTGCAAAGACAAATTTATTGTAACTGCGATAAAATCTGCATTCCGTTGTGATGGTGTTTTTTTAAAAAGACGCAGGAACGCGCTCTGTAATTATTTTTAATTTTTTAATTTATCTGTTGTAGCTATGTATTTTTTTTTTTTTTTGCAAAACAAGCTTTCTAATATAAGGGAGCTGGCGAGAAATTGTTAGAAATGCAATGAAGTGATTTTTTTAAAAATCAACGCACTGAAACCAAAAAATATTTCAAACTAAGTGCTGGTGTTAACAGATCTATAATTTATATCAATGATAAATATACATTTTCCCCCAACGGTAGCACTAAGAAAAATGCATATTATTATTATTATTATCATTATATAAACCCTCGTGGAAATTAATTGAAACAACTGCTTTAGTTTCCTTTCTTTCACCATACGGTCAGTTTTAGACACACTGGAGTGACAGGGTGTAATCGATTTCTATTTTTTTTCTCAGATTAGGTCATTTGCAGTGGTGTGCAGTAATATGAATCTATTTTCGGGGTGTCTGATGAAATTTGTTTGGCCTTGAAAAATATTGCCTCATCCGTGATTGCATCAGATTTTTATCACTCCCAGACACTATTGTCTCGACTGTCGATTAGTTGTCCTACGGCCATTGTCTGCGATGGACGTTACTCCAAGGAAGCGTACGAAAATTGTAACGCTGCACGAACACACTGGCAAGCCTTACCAGTGAGCAAATCAAAGTACTATAGACTGGCCCGGAAACTCTCCTGATTTAAATCCAATCGAGAATCTGTGGTCAATCTGCAAGGAACGATTTCGTGGAATGGACATACGAAGTACTAACATGTGCACTGGGTCATGTTTCATTGGAAAAATACGAAAATAAGTAAATAATAACGGATTTATATGCTTTGTTTCAATAAACACAAAGGGTGAGCAGCCATGTTTAAAGGCAAAATAAGTAACACAACTCTCAAACAAGGAGAACTGACAAAGTTTGTCATAAGCAATAACAAGAAAGAGAAAAGAACAGTGCAAAAAAATAATAAAAAAAGCAAACAATATAAAAAGGCACTTTTAAAAACAGTAATAAGGTAAAATTTTAAAAAAAAAAATATTTCACAAACTAAGAATTAGATTAGCTGACACAAAAAAGCTAATTCGGACAAGCGAACGTAGCGTTTAATTTTGAAGACATTAGACCGGGACTTCCTAAAATGTGACCGAGAACCGGTTTATTTTATTGGACAGGATGAAATCCCAGCAAAAAAAAAAAAAAAAGTTTTTTTATAAATTGAGGAATGTCAATTGTTGTTTATTTTAATTCCTATGATTTTTTTTAATTTACAATATATATATATATAAATATATATATTTATATATATATAGAATATATATATATATATATTTGGAAAATGTTTCTTTTTTTTAAAACATCTTTTTCATTAAATATGAAAACAAGGAAAATTTTTTTTTTTTTATTTAGTTTTTCATTTTTTGCTATTTATTTTATCCTTGAAAATTTTGAAGAAAACTGATTCATAAAAAAAAAAATTTTTATTTTAAACTTTAAAAAAATGTTTATTTGAAATAACAAACAAACAACAAAAAAAAAATTTTTTTGATGGAAAAATTTAAATTTAAATATATATATATACATATATATTAGAAAAGAATGTCTTCGTTAATTTTTTTAAATCAGTCCCTCTTTAAACAGTTTCTTTTTCATGATGTTTTTCTTAAAAAAAAAATCCAATGGATTTATTTTGTTTTGCACAAATATTTTTTTTATTTTTTTTGTTTTTTAAATGTCTTTTTTTTTTTTTTTTTCATTTATACCTGAAGAATATAAAATGTCGTTGAAACGCGTTGTTTATAAATTTTTCCATTTTTTGTCACATTATCTTTCTTTCAGATATAGATATTATTCATCATATTATCCCCAAATATATATATATATATATATAAATAGAGAGAGAGAAACAAGGCCTGATGATTTTAATTTAGCATGAAAAAAATCTGACCGTTGACATCGATGTTCACTTTTATATTACATATTTTATTATATTTGATATTGAATTTTTTTGACATTTATATTTATAGCATTTTTTTTACAAAGGGAGTCAGACAATATTTTTAAAGGATAAAAAAAAAAAACGAATCAGAAATTCAGATTGATTCGAAATACAAATTTCTTTAAATGACATCAGTTTCATTCAAAGGGGGATGGGCCGATTTGAGATTGATTTGTTTTTTGACCTTGTTTTTTGAAATAAAATATACAAAAACACTTTTTCTATTTTTCAAATTTTACTGCCCTTTTTCTGGGACTTTTATGTCAGCGTGTTTTTCAATATATATTGACCCCAAACCAAAAAGCATCCATATTGAATTATTTGAAATAAAATCAATTGTGCATATTTAAATAAACGGATGTGTTTTCTGACGTGACTAATAAAAAAGGATGGTTGTGTGGACGTTATGGATGGAGGATAAATTTAGATAAAAATTTGCTATTCTAAGAAGGATCTGGTCGGATTCTTTGGATCATCAATTTTTTTAATTTTTCTTTTTGTCAATGAAACTTGATCTACAAACTGGTTTTTACCAAGAATAATTTTATTCCATTCATACGAACCAATCCTAAAAATCTTGTCGTTATTAAATAACCCATTGAGGTTGATTTATCATTAAAAAATTTTAAACCAGACCAAACCAAACCCAAATTTTCAAAATTTTTGAAAAATTTTTTCACATTTAGATAATGGACCTAAAAAGATTTCTTTAATACTATTTTGTAAATTATTGTAAAATCAAAAATGCTATTTTAAAAAAATGTTAAACATTAAAAAAAAGAAATTTTCGGAAAAATGCATTCATATTCTCTTTGTTTTTTGAGTTTAAAATTTTGAAAAAAAAAAAAAAAAAAAGATTTTTTGGAACTTTAAAATTAACGACTTTTTGTTAAATTCTACAAAATTTTTTTAAAAAAAAAATGCATATGTTTTCTTTTTGTTCATCCTATTTCAAATTGAAAAAAAAAAAAATTTTAATGACATTGAAAAAATTATATAAATTTAAAAATTTTTTAAATCAAAGATTAAACTTTAACTTCTTTTCTGTAATGATTAAAAAAAGTTTATAAACTTAAAATGCAAGAAATTTTATATCATTGCTTATAATATTTGATTTGGCATTTTACGCCTTATTTTTCCCACATTTTAATAATTAAGCTTTTTTTTTGCAAAATTATTTAGCATTAAACTCAACCCAGACCTCAAGTGAAAACAATTACACACCACAAAGATGATGCGAAATTGGTCAATTAATTTTTTATTTATGTATAGTTGCATGTACCTCAATCCTTTATTAATTGAAAATTCTTTTTACAAAAGTCTTTATTAAAGTGACTTGGAGTAACTTTTTGACATCAAAATCATTTCATCATTTTGAATCTTTCAACCTAGTAATGGTTGGTAAAACTGTAATTGAAAACCCATTTTTCAAAAATTTTGAATAAATTATTTTTTAAAATTTTTTTTGTATTGTATTTTATTTTCATTTTTTTTTTAAAACTAAGCTATGTTGGTTAAAAAAAAAAAAAT